TATATATATAAACACATTATTCGGCCCAACTATTATACCCCCACTGTGGGGACTGCAATTCTTTCTCTTTCTCTTTCTCTCCTTCTTCCTCTTTCTCTTTCTTTCTCTCTTCATATGAATATACCTCTGGAAGATCCGAAAAGGAATCTTCGTAAAAGGGACCAAACTCCTTATCTGCAGTCTCCTTATGATGTAGTAAGTGAAGACTAATGGCCTGCGCTAAATCAAAATCTTTCATTTGATGTTTTCGAATACTATCCAGTGCCTTTAATCGTTTCTCTCGATCACTATAAATATCGGAGATATCACTTTCCTCTGCTAAACGAATGGAGCCCCGAAGAATATTCCTCTCCTCTCCTCTGCCCATTTCTCGCATAATAGAGGGATCGGAATAAGATCTCCACATCTCACTCTCATACAAATTAAAAGAGTCATTCGTCTCAACTTCCGTAGGAATTTGACGCTTTTTACATCTACAGCAAATGAATACAGAGAAAATAATAAAAATGAGAACTAAAGCGACTGCCACACAAGCAGCGATAATGATCCACATATTGCTCTCTTCTATTTCCTCAAAGTCACTTGAATTAAAAGATAATGAAATCGATGTACTCATTGTTGGAATATCATCATTTAATTCTACTGTTTGTGTTAACGTTTGCGTACTTCCATTATTATTATATTCCAATGACTCTGTTAACGTTTGCGTACTTCCATTATTATTATATTCCAATGATTCTGTTAACGTTGGGGTATCCTCCTCTTCCTTATATTCCAATGATTCTGTTAACGTTGGGGTATCCTCCTCTTCCTTATATTCCAATGATTCTGTTAACGTCGGTGTACGATTGGCCCCTCCAGGCTTTGCAAGAGCCGCAATGAACAGCGATAATATTAATAATAACAGTGGAGTTATTTTGCTGCATTTCATACAACTGTGGTGTGGAAACATTATGTGCCTGGTGTATTCTCTGTTTAACATTCACCTAAAATCACCACTGCGTACATGTCTGCATGCAAGTATATAAATAGGGAATAGATAGAGATAGTTAGAAAAAAAGAAAAAAGAAAAGAAAAGGAGAAAGAAGAAGTGAATCATATGAACGGAAGAGTAGTAAGCAGTTTATATATATATAGAAAGACTTGCATATTATATCCATAAATAAGAAAGGAGTAAAAAAAGAAATAGTGATGATGAGGTTTATTAAAAAGTTTAATAAGTATTAGAGTTAGACCACAGACGTTATGAATGGTCTATTTTTTTTTTTTTATCCCCTCCACTCATGTAATTGTACACATGCACTCATACACATAAAGAGAAAGAAAAGAGTTAATAAACAAATAAATAAATAAATAAATAACTTTTGAAGATTCGATTACTCCGACAAACGCATACAATAGTCCACTGCCCTATAGTTACCCGAAACCTCCCGCAGCATACACTGGGGAAAGTTTGTACCCCAAAACTCCAATGCCTTCTCCCACCCAAAGAGAGAACAGTACAGTGAACAGTGATCAGATCTAACTAAACCTGATAATGATGATGATAATGATGATCTCTTCTGGTGATTAAAAAGATGTTCTGTTACGATAAGGGCAGCTTTCCACTGTCCACCAGCCATCGCACATGATTGATATACAAATTTTAGTGTTCCCGGTGATATTGTATGGATTCCACATAATGTACATTGAAGCTCCAACAACTCCAATGAGGTTTGCCAAATGAGATTCATATTTACAGTACTTGAATGTATCTTTTCTTTCCCAATTACTCCAACTCCTACTCTCTTGGAATTGTGGGAAATAGATTCAGAGAGAACTATTCTTCTCTCTTTACGTATTTATTCTGCACGACGACGATACTCGGCAACTCGGCAAACTAACTTCTGCAGTTCATGAAACATAACGACATCTGGAGGAGGAGAAGAAGAAGAAGAGGAATGATGAGGATTAAATGTATTGGACTTTTTCTCATAAACAGGAGATGTTCCCAATAACACATCTTGCGAGTTTCATTCCTACTCGTGTACGCTGTTCCACATTTAATAAATCATCTTTTCCAGAAGAGAAACGCGGAAGGAGTCGATCCATTTGATTAGGAAGAAGCATATGCGTAGGAATGCGTCCCATACAAATCTCCAAAACACGTTCTACCAATTGAAAACACATCTTTTCTCGTAAACTCCCAGAGACGATTGGCGATTCGGAAAGAAGATTTAGTAAAGTCTCATACATAATGGAATAAATAATAACTTCCATTTCTTTATTGGACAGTTGCAAGTGTGAAGTTATTTTGGGGTTTTGAAGGGATTCTCCGGATAGGCGAGTCGTATTTGATACGATATGCTGAAAGTAATGTAAAGAAAGAATCCATAAATTATTTTGAGGAACACAACGTCTTAACATTTTAAGAGCTCCACAGTGAACAGAAGCAGGTAAAGTGTGAAGTGGGTCTATCATACTATTATTACTATTATTAGTAGTATTATTAGTATTATTATCAATACTAGTATTATCTGAAATAACACTAGCACGTTGTTGTTCGACAAGTAGCAATAATGACAAAGCCCGACTCCAGTTTAAAGTGTTCTGTATATAATGATAAAGTACAGTATCCTCCACTTTGAGTTTATTTCGATCAGGTTCCTTCTCATTTAATAATAAGAACTCTAGTGGAACAAATTCAAGCATTCCGGATGAGGGTGATAACTCAGATGTACGTAGTATCTTTTCCAAAAGTTCCTTCATTCGTTGATATTCCCCTTGTGCGTGCAGAATCTCTATAATATGGTTAAACATAAGTGCCTTACTCGATGTAGAACTAATACATTTTTCATTTCCACTCATTACATCTCTGTTATCCAGGATTTGAGATAAACTAAGTAAACCAAGTGCCTTATACCACGGAATGGAAGAGTTTCGAAGTAATAGAGATAACATGTGTATTGTTGGACGGCGTTCATCCTGCCGTAAAGATTGCTGGATATTCCCTTTCCTTGAGAAACACGTGTAATTCTCCGAAAGGACCTGTAAACAAAACTGCCAATGTGCCTTAGATATAGACTTCCCACTTCCTATTAAGGATTCCATAAGGGGAGGAACTTTAGAGATCACACACTCCACTTCGGCATCATTAAGCCGTAATGAACCTGTTGGACGTCCACTAATCTTTTGTAATATGTGTAATACAATTTGAACGTTATCGGTATTAGTAGTGTGTAGAATACCCAATCGACAACGTCCAATTTCCTTTCGGCTAATCTTTTTATGTGTGAGTCCTTCTTCAAATAGAGCAATTGCCTCTATCCATTTTTTATGATGAATGAGTCCACGAATAAGTTTAAAAATATCCAATTGATCTGCAACTCTGGCACGGCGAAGAATTGAAATTCGATCTTGCTCTGATGGAAGTGCTTGAACTGCTGAAAGAAAATTTCCATCCCAACGAAATAAAGATCCATTTATATTTTTTTTATGTGCTTCATCAAACATTTTAACAGCAAGTTTAGGCTTCTGGCAAACTCGACTTACTACATCAAGTGCCATAGAGAACATTGTACCCCATTCAGTTGCCTTTTTCTGAGAAGCTTCAACTGTTGTTGTTGATAGAGGTTCTAAAGATTTAGAATCTTCAAAGTTTACAGATAATAAGGCATCACGTGAGCGAGTCGCCTCTAGGAGTTTGAGATTGAGTTCAAAAATATTAATCACTGCTGTCCAGCATCCCACTTCTCCCAAACGTTGTACCAAATGTCCAGTACATATATGACTTGGTGTCTCTCGCTGATAGAGCATATGACGATAAAATTGTAAAGATTCCTTCCATTGGCCAGCTTGCAAAAGAGAAGTAAGGGCTATGTGACGCATCCATCTAAGTCCACCTTGGTTTGATTTTTTTCTCCTATACTCCTTTTCAGATTCTATTTGGGATCCATATACATTATCATGATTTGTTTTATCTCTGGTTGCTATCTCGTAAAGACGTAGGACATCAACCCAAGAGTTTGTACAATAAGAAAGATTTCGCATTAAATGTGCTTTCGATGCAGAAGAAATATTTGTAGGAAACACCTTATTATCAGTTCTAATATTTCCTGAAAAGGTCCGCTCAATATATAACTGTCTCCAGCGAGTCAATAATTTCAAAGAGATCCACCATTGTTCTACTGGGAAACGACAGTGATTTAAGAGATACACTAAACTCTCCTCCTCCATACTTATGGATGGAACCTCATTTTTCTTTGGAGTAGATAAGGACTGTAAAGAATTTTTTTCGCCTGATTTACTTACTTCACTAATAGATGATGATGATGATGATGACGACGAGCAGAGTTTAGATAAATCTGCTAAAAGCAACGCATGAGACCAACCATCAGAAATTTCATGTGAAGAATTATCATTACCACTGTACCGATTTAATGATATAGGTTGTGAAGTAAGTGGTGTTCGTTGTTTAATGTACTTTTGATTTGGAGGGAACATACGATGAAGCGTCTTGCGAAGACCCTCCGCGCTCACTGCGCCACCCCCCAGCCGCAGTTGCTCATACAAGAAAAACGGGATATGAGGACTCGTTTTTACTGATTATGATTATTATTATTATTACTATATTTTTTTTTTTCTATTCCTCCTGTTGATTATATAAAGAATATTTTCACCCATTATTATTATTATTAGAATAGACAGTAAAAATGAGAAGAAGAAATCAATAGGATACACATATATTACTGGAAGGTCAGGAAGAGTGGGGAGGTGAGGGAGGGGTAATAAACCCACCCACCCTACAAGAACAACAAGAATATATTAACACATCAAAAATGTGTTTATTTATTTTTTTTTCTGAAAGAGAAGAAAAAGTTTGACGAGAGTGGGGTTTGAACCCACGCCCTCGGAAGGATTGGAACCTTAATCCAACGTCTTAGACCACTCGACCATCTCGCCACGGACTCGCCCCACCAATCCTGATGGAAGTAGAGGATGAAACACAAACATCTGTAATCGATGGAAAAAAATAAAATAAAAAAAAAAAGAACCACAGATATTCCTTCTCCTCCACACATATACAAGAGGAATACACTGTTGTTTTTTCTTTACATTTCATTCACCTTGTTTTTTCTCACAGACCCTCCATCACACACCCCTGTTCCCTCAAATGGGATTACGGAGGGAACATTTTAAGAAGATATATATATACACACACACAAAAAGAAATATGGAGAAAAAAAAAGGAAAAAACGAAACGCTGCTGCTGCTTCTTAAACTCCAATATATGGAAGTTGAACAACAAAAAAAAAATATCAAAAGTTAAAAAATTTTAAGTTAAAATGACGCTATCAACGTTTTCAAAAAAAAGAAAGGAGTAAAAAAAAAAAAAAAACCGTTTTGTGGCACCTATACCGAAGAAATCAAAAAAAAAAGAACAACCAAAATGCATACATACCATCTTTTCAGGAAATTTACTCCCGTATATCTGATGAAATTCAAGGGACTAGAAGTCAAAATAAAAACCTTCAAAATTAAAAAAAAAGGAATATTTTTCTTGTTATTCATCCATGCATCGACCCCCTATAAAACAACCCCCCAAAAAGAAAACATAATTCAGGGATCATATATATATATATTTCTTTTAAAAGGTATATTATTGCTAAATCTGTCTCATTTTCATTAACTCGTCAGAGATAAGAAAAAAGGCACCAGTCTTTGCTTTAAGTTCATCAATAGTAACACCCTCCGCTATTTCTTTTAGTAATAGTTGACGAGCATTACCACCTTTGCAAACCACATCAAAAACAGCCAAATCCGTTATAATAGTCTGAACAACACCTTTACCTGTTAATGGCATATTACAGTGCTCCACAATACGTGGTGTTCCATCTTCGTTTACGTGCTCTGTAAGGGCAATAATTCGTCCACCACTGGATACGACACCCATAGCTCCAGCAAGTTCATTCAGTTTTCCAGCGGCATACCAACTTGCGATATCACCGGTGGATGAGACTTGAAAAGCACCCAGCATAGTTGCATCCACGTGTCCACCCCGAAGCATTGATAATGACACAACACTATCAAAGAGAGAAGCACCCGGATCTGGAATTACAACAGCTTCTCCACCGGCATTTACAAAATCCGGATCGGAAACTTTTTTATTCTTAGGAAGAGTTTCACTCCATATCATTCCTGATTCTGAAAGAGCAAAAACCTTAACATTTTCAGGCAAGAAACGTTTTACCAGGGAAGGTGTGCCCACTCCGAGTTTCACACACATATCATTACCCAGCTCAAGGACCGCACGTCGCGCAATGCGTTCCTGCTTCTTTTCAATATTAGATGACGCACTCGCTTCATCATCGTGAATTGAACTTGGGTTCGAGTGCTTTTCTGCTTTTTCAGATAGCACGATGCGATCCACATAGAGAAAAGGAACATGAACCTCACTCGCATCCAGTTTTCCAACCTCCACAATTTCCTCCACCTCAGCAATACAGGTCTTTGCACATGTTGCCATTATAGCATTCATATTTTGTGTTGTACCGCGGAAAAGAAGATTTCCCCTCGTGTCGGCTTTCCATGCCTTGATAAGAGAGAAATCTGCCTCAATAGCGTGCTCCAAAACACACCAGCGCCCAGATACTTCACGAGTTTCTCGGGGTTCAGAACGCTCAATCACACGTCCAGAACCATCTGGGGCAAAGAGCACCGGAATATTTCCATCTGCCAAATCTGTCCCAAACCCTGTTGGTGTGTAGAATGCGGGAATACCGGAACCCCCACAACGGAGTCGTTCCACCAATGTTCCCATCGGCGACAACTCCAGTCGTAATTTTCCCTGTGTGAGTTGCTTGGCGAGAAAGCTGTCTAGTCCAATGTACGATGTTGTTAAGGTTTTCACCTGACCATCGCGTAATAGTGGGCCTAGACCAATAGAATCCTCCCCACCGGTAGCGGTAGAGATGATATGAAGATTTTTTCTGCCTTCCTTGCGTAGTCGGCTCAGCAACTTGAATGGGACACCGCAGAGCCCAAAGCCGCCAACAGCAACAGAGGCGCCATCACCAATATCTCTAAGCGCATCGACAGAAGACATAATCTTCGCCTTTTTACAAATGAAAGACCGGCGTAACATTTCGATACCGTGTTGTG